TGGAAAAGAATATGAAAAAAATATATATATATGTATGTAAGTATAACTGAATTACTGTACTGTACACCAGAAACTAACACAATATTGTGAATCAACTCTACTTCAAAAGGAAATTTATAAATAAAAAGAAATTAAAAAGAAAGAGCATAGTTCTTGTAAAGCCCTTTAGCACAGGGTCTACTTGACATGTAGGGGGATTCCCTCTGTGGAGTAAAATCACATTTAAAATTCAATGCATAAATGCATAAATATGAGCCAGCAGCACGTAATACAGAGAGAGAGAGACCAACTAATTTTTTTTTTCCTTTTCTGTATTCCTGCCCCCGGGGCCTGAGGCCCAGGCCATTTCCTGCATCTTTAGAGTAAACCCCCTGACTCACCTGAGCTGCCCTGAGTAGGACTCCCTTTCCCGCAACCAAGAGCCCCGTCCAGAACAGCTTCCGCTCCCTCCATGCAGCTCACACTCCAGCCAATCTGGACATGGCTCCTTCTCAGCCTTGAGCCTTCCTTCCACACTCCCATCCACACCAGGAACCGCACTGTCCACCCGGCCCGCCGCCCTGACAAGTGCCCATCAGTCACTGTTCCGGGCCCTCATTCTATACCACCTGCCTCCAGGGGAGGCCCCAGAACCTTCCTGCCCCTCCCCAGTCCCAGGCCGCCCACTGGAGGCCCCTCCCCTTGGAAGGACGGGCCAGGCCCCATCACTCAACAATCCTGGCCCCTGGCAAAGTCTCCGTCCTCTCTGAGCTGCTTCCCGGGGTCTAGAAGGGTGACAACATTGCCAGTGTGGCCTCTTAAATGGAAACACATGAAGCACAAACCAGACGGCGTGTGCAATGGCTCTGCAAACTTTAAAGTGCTTTCCAAACATGCAGACGCTTTCCCAAGGAGCTCCGAAAAACGTAAAGTCATTTGAAGACGAACATGCAGGCTCCTTATTAGACAGAGATCACCCTGTCTTCTTAGCCATCCTCTGGGAACTCTGGGGAACAGGAATTTCCAAGGGGGTCCCACAAATCCCCCAGCCACGCAAGACAGGCCCTGGGAGTACCTGGCGGGCCGCCCCAGTCTTTGTCCCAGAGAAACAGAGGCAGCACCGAAGCTCTTCTGCAGCCTTGCAACTCCATCTCTCGAGCATTTGGTTTGGAAAACCTTCTCTCCAAGTCTGCCCATAAATTTGCATTTCAAATATTCCATAGTCCATAATAAATAATTTACATAAAGGGCTGGTTGGATGGAGCACAGCAGGCTACAAAAGGAAGAAACACAGAGCAGCAGCCCAGATTTAACTTGCTCAGCCCAAGTGCTCAGAGAATCCTGAGGCCACACAGAAAGGAAGAGTCAGCTTCACTCGGCTCCCTCCACCCTCTGTGCGAAATCGTGCTGGGGAGGGGCTGGCGAACTGCAGCATCTTCAGCTAATTTCACATGACACAGATGCAAATGACTTTGTGTTTCCTAATCGTGGGAAACAATCACATCTCCTTTCCCTGCTTCTGTCCATGTCCTCCATCCAAAGGTTCCGCAAATTTGAAACATTTAATGGCAACATAATACTGGGCTATTGTTCTTAAGGGAAAAAAAAATCTGATCACTTTGAGTTTAATTCTACGGTGCGAAGAAGACTGTGAGCTTAGCCTGCGTGAAGGCACAATGACAAAATGAGTTAATTACCAGCTCATCGCAAGACGGATCTACTTGTCAGGGGAACAGGAGGCGTTCTCTCACACAAAATGATGACCCAGATAAAAAGTCATGGCTGGAGGCAGCAGCCGCCGGTGACACAGTTTCATCTGGGCCTAAGTGACTGGCAATTAACAAGTGTCACCACCACACATATATACGTAGCCCCAGCTATTCATTAAATATTTACTGAAAATACACAACTAATTTCTACTGTCTTTCTTCCCAAGGAGCTCCTGTGGTTTTCTACCCAGGCGATGACAGTAAAATTTACACGCATGTAAAAGTCTACCCCCAGCTAGAATAGCTGTTGACCCTGGATGGGTCGCCAGTCCCCAAAGCTCTGTGCACCAGAGGCGATGTTTTCTCCAGACATCACATCTGACAACGGAAAAGAGTTGCAGACGGAAGGGGTCCCAGTCCTATCGGTTGGTCCCTCGTCTCCTGGTTGGCGTGGCCACTGGCTTAGAACTGAAGCCCCACCAGCATTAAAGCCAGAACTCTGGCTCCTCCCAGGTCCAGCCCTCGGCCACAGACTGACAGGACAGGGACAAACGGGGAGGCCACCTCCACACACCTAGGTTCTCCAGGGTGGGGAGCTCCCTCCCGCTCTGCTGCCAGTGACCGTGACCTGTGTCTCTATGGAGAGAAGCCCAGGTGAGAGGCCCCGGGACACGCGCCCGGAGGCAGACCCTGGGTCAGACGTCAGTGCTGCCCTGGTGTGCACGCCATCTCGTCTGCCTTCTTTTATCTGAAAACCACGGGCACAGGCCAGGCTGGCACCCTGGGCCTTAAAGTGGTAATTTTCAGAATGTTCAAAACAGAATTCTTATACAGCGGAGAAGGTGTAGCTCAGTGGTGGAGTGCGTGCTTAGCATGCACGAGGTCCTGGCTTCAGTCCCGTATCTCCCTTAAATAAATAAATAAATAAGCCGAATTACCTCCCCCCAAAAAAGTTAAAGAAAAAAAACCAGAATTCTGATAAAAACATAGAATGAGCAAGTGTCAATGACTAATTTAACTAATTATTGAACAAACCATGAGATACTGATGTGCATACACACACACACACATACACACACACACACACACACACACACACAGAGTCAGTGTGTGTGGGAGAACAGTGGAATAAAAGTAAAAGTTAATACAACACTGGCCACTGTCCTTCAGAGTACACAAACCATAACTCTGAGGTTACGTCCGCTGTGGGATGGACGCCCACCTGCACCTTTAGGCACTGGAGGCACGCAGCAGCTGAGTGTCCACTTAACAGGCTGCTTACAACCTGATCTGGGCACAGGGCCACGGGTCAGTCTCACAATGATCTGGTTTGGTTAAGACAAAAACATCAAATCCCATTTTTTTTAAGCGCCTGTCTGCTGTATGGCCAGAGCCTCATGCCCTCAACTTGCCAACTCACCCCTCAACTATTCCAAGCCTCTGAATCTTCATGACAAAACCATTTCTAAAACAAATTTTCCCCAGTGCTCAGATCATGGGGGTAAACCCCATCTCTAGAAAGTCCCTACCCAAGTTCATGGGAACATTTTATTGGCAGCAATCCAAAGAAGATGGCCCTATTTCTACCAACATCTCCTCGAGTTACAGAAACACCTGTCTCCTTTATACACACGTATGAACAGAAACTGCTCCCCCACCTTTACTTAAGTAACGATCTGAATTCTACCGGAGAAGAAAGTCTCCCTCGTCCTAGGAAAACCACGCAAAATTTTCACCAAAGAGGCCATCTGATCCTGGTCGACAGGTCTGGACCCCCACCAGACCTGAGTGGTTATTCCCGGGGCGTGGAGAGTCTGAACACTCCACAGATGCTGAGGGGAGAGAAGCAGGGGGTGAATCTCCCCCCACCCCCCCCAAAAATAAATCACTGGCTGTTTCAAGGGGCCACCCAATGCTTCCACTCTTCTGCAAAGCTTCTCTCCACGTTTCACAGCTGAGTCCTGGCCTTTTCTCCCACCTCTCACATTGCCTTTCTTGCCAAAGCTGCTCTGATCTTCTTTTCATTTTGTTTTGTTGACATACAGTCGATCTACAATGCTGTGTTACTTCCTGGTGCACAGTGTAGTGATTCGGTTGTACATATATGTATATATGTATTTTTTCTCCAGTTCTTTTCCATTATAGGTTACTATAAGCTATTGAATAGAGTTCCCTGTGCTGTACAGTAGGACCTTGCTGTTTACCTATTTTATAGATAGTAGTGTGTATCTGCAAATCTCAAACTCTCAATTTATCGCCTCGGTAACCGTAAGTGTGTGCTCCATGTCTGTGAGTCTCTGCGATCTGTTGAGCCCCCCACACCCTCCTGCTCAGGCCCTCGGACCAGCTGCTCCGTTTGCTGGGAGGGGCTCCCGTTCGCCCTCTGCAGCCCCCTGAGGCCTTATCCCGCTGGCTCAGCCCAGCCACCTCCTTGATGCCCAGCCACGCCACGTCTGTGGGCAGCTTCCCTCCCACTCCTGCTTGCCACACTCGTCCAGGAGGAGAGACTCCTGGTTTTGAGGACACAAGGGTGGGGACCCCGGCTGTCTTATTCTCTGTCCCCTGGCACAGAGTACTATTCCAGACCGACAATGACAGCCGACAGTATATTAACTGATGGACTGGTTCTCTAACAAGCCATGATCACCTCTCTAGGCTGGGGGATTGCCAGCTACCTTGGCAGACTGGGTAGGGGACGATGACCAGGGAGGCATTAAGCGATGTACGCAGCCCCAGTTTGGGCAAGCGCATTCCTTCTGCGGTTAAGTGTCAGCGTATTGAAATGGAGTGCACCCTGCACTTAGCAGGAACCCTCATAGGGCACAAAGAACACTTCAAAACCAGACATATTTCTGGGCAGAAAATGAATCCCCTTCAAATAGGCAATCTTCCCTGGTAAGATCGCAGGCCAGTGGTCATAGGACCATGGCCATGCTCCCACGCCAGGAAAGGAAGGGGGCTCAGGGCAGTGAAGACCCACAGGGTTAGCAGGAGATGGGATGTGGGAGTTCACACAATCTCAAGGATTTGAGGCGGGGTCCCGGCAGCGGGCCCACAGGCCTGTCAGCTGTTAACGCCACTCTGGCCCCGAAAAACAGAGGCCACCATCCTGGGAGGAAGAGGGAACCACCTTGTTCCAGGGTCAAGGCCAGCCTGAGTGGCAGGGGACTGCCCCCTGTGGGGTCACCCAAAGTCCCAGGTCTGAGCAGGCCTGCGGGGTGCAGCCCACCTGCCCTCAGCCAGCCCCGGGCCCGTTCACTCAGGCAGGGGCTCTGCCAACCCGGTCAGTTGTATCCTGACTGCAACACTCACCTTCTTGACGAACTCTGGGATGATTTTTTGGTCTGTCAGGTGGGCTAGGGAAGAACAGCAATCTAATTCCAAGATGTAGCCTTCACCATGAAGGTCAGCCTTCTGAGATCTGAAAAGAGACACACACACAAACTAAGATTCTGCACAATATACATATATATAAAAAAAGAATCACTGGATGTTTCATGAAATCCCAAATTCTTTCCTGAAACTAACTGCCAGAAAGGCACTCCTGAAAAACTAACCTAGGGTGAACAACTGAAATAATATGCATTATACAACTTACGATCGACAACTGAAATATATGGAAGTAAGATGGATTTACATCCCAGAAAGACCCCCAAGACATTTCATCAAGGAAAACACATCATTATAGAATGATGGGTTTAGTACAACATGGAATATTGGGATAAAAAACTGGAATAAAGGAATATGAAAACCATGGACTGTAGGGGCCATTTTACGTGTACAGAGAGAGGAGTCGCCCACCATCCCAAAGGAAATACCAGTGTAAAACTTGGCAATTCGGAGGATGTGGTGTTTAATATAGTCAATAAACGATCAACATTCTGCAACTGGGACCAAAACAGCGTGTTGTAATGCATCCAAAATCAACAATAAAATTTTATGTGCTAATGAATACCAATAAAATAAGTACAAACACACACACACACACACACACACACACACTCCAGTGATGTGTACTTCCCATTGGTTTACATCTGCCAGGGCTTAGAAAAAGAACCAGTAACACACACAGCAAACCTGTAATAGCAGTGACCTCTGGGGGCAAGAGAGGGTCTGGGTGGCAACGGGCGGGGATGGTGGTGGTGATCAAAAGTGATTTTAGCAGTATCTCCAATTTTTTCATCTTTTCTGAAGAGAACTGATTCATAGATCACTTAGAAAATGAAAAATTAATTTTTAAAAGACTTTTAAAAGGTTCAATCCCTAGAGAGAGCAATCTGGCAAAATCTATCAAAACTAAAGAGGCAAGAAAGAAAGAATACAAGGCAACCGAAGTAGAAATTCAGGGAAAGAGCGGATGGCAAGGGCTGTTTGGGGCAAACCCCTTCCGACTTTCAGTAGAGGCAAAGGCGTCCAGTATGCCCTGCCCCTCCCCGCCGGGTGGTGGGGCTGCTCCCCCACCCCCCTCTCCCACCCCCATCCCCACCTATAGAGACACGCACGCACGTGACACAAGGCTGGGGGCACTCAGGACAACCAGCAGCAAGTGGTCACCAGAAGGAAAGACCACCGCTGCATGCCACCCCTTTGGGGGTCTTCTGGACAACACTACGTGGGCTGACGGACTCCTGGAAGCCACACAGTTGTCAGACGTTCAAGGTGATTCATTGGCTCGGGAGGAGGGGGGACGCCAGACAACAGGAAGTGGACTGCAGCGAGGGGTCTCAGGCCCAGCCCTCTCCTCATGGGGAGGGGGACTTGGAGACCCCGGCTCGGCTCTCTAGGCTCACACCACGTGCACAGTGACTCTCCACTGCCCAGGGCAGAGCAGCGCCCCCCACAAGCCCAGCCCAGTTAGAAGGATCTCTGCCAAGGAGGGGCCCTGGCAGCCCCCATGAGCACAGGTGTAGCCAGGAAATTCTGAGTGGGCAGCTTCACACTGAACTCCTGAGACACATGCATCCCACCAAATAAACCATTTCTGAACGCACGTTTGCTATAATACTTTAAAGACAGATTTCCAGGAGTCTTATATATCATTAAAAGCAATTTAGGCTGCCATTAACCATCTGGGATGAGTCACATGAAATTCAAAAGTGGAGAAATGAAAGAGGATTTGGGTTTCCCCAGGTGTGCGACTGTGGCTGGGTAAGGAAATGCTAATATCTTATTTAGATTTTTAGATTTTATTTTTTCCCTCTAACATATCCTTTCAGGGGTAGGGACTGAAGCATCCACTCTTTTTCTTAATTTTTAGAACATTTAAAAAATTCTAATTTCTTATTGAAGTGCAGTCGATTTACAATGTTAGTTTCAGGTATACAGCAAAGCAATTCAGTTACACATATATACACGTACGTGTGTATATATATATATTTTTTTCAGATTCTTCTCCATTTCAGCTCATTACAAGAAATTGAGAGGCACATACTCTTAAAATGTAAAATATCTCACAGCAACCACTGGAAAAAAATGTAAAAGAACAAATAGATTTCAAACTGGCCAAACTGTAACCGTGAATTCCGAAAGAATCAACCGGTTCTGAACCCCAGCCTTCTGGCCTTGAAACCCCATCAGAGACTGAACTCATGGTCTCATTTTTTCCACACGTTCTTACTCCCACCCCGCCCTACACAAAAGACGTATCAAGAGGAACTAAAGCAGAAGATTCCAGACTTTTGAAAGAGAAGACTTAGCCAAGCTACTGTCATATGCATTATGTGGGGTCTCAGACAACGAAGGCAGGATAGGAGGAGGGAAGTTCTAGAACACGAAATCCCAGCTGCTGTCATGTGGGGACAAACCTCAGCTGCTACAAGGTTACTGAAAAATACCCACTGCCATTTTAAATGATTCAGCTGAAAAACGGTCATCATTTAAAATAAGTCAAATCTTTAATGGAAAAGAAATATGAAAACGAATATATGTATGTATCTGCATGACTGAGACATATTGCTGTACACCAGAAATTGACACATTGTAACTGACTGTACTTCAATTTAAAAATTAATTAAAGAAAATAAAGTAAGTCAACACTGTGTCCACTCTGTAAAAGACCCACAGAATGAATGGAGAGAAGACAGACTGTCTTATTTTTTTTTAATTGAAAGACCGTCAGTTACAATGTGTCAATTTCTGGCACACAGCACCATGTCCCAGTGATGTGTATACACACATATATTCGTTTTCATAGGGACCGGCCTGTCTTTAAGCAACTCACAGCCCAGACACACGAGGGGTAGTCATTAGCACTGGATCTAATAACCACCAGTGCTGGTTCTGGAACAAGGAATATGCTAAGGAGGGCAGCTCTGGTTCATTTCTCAGATAATTAACTCGGTTACTTCTGAACTGAAAGGAGCACAGAAGAGTTGATAAAAATGGGCATTATTACAAATTTTCTAGATGAAACATGAAAACTCACATCTAGGCCTTTGGGCTCCATACATACTGCGCGATAAGTAAGCAACTCAGGTCCTCCCTTGCCTTTAGGAGTTACCTCCAGAGCTCAAAGTGAAAGGGCTGGAACTTGGAACAGTGGCTGATGGGCAGGAGGTGGCAAGGACCCCTGAACGCTCTGAGGACGGGTGCTGAAGGCCCAAGTCCTCAAGCCCGCGTCTGTGAGGGTGCGGGGCCAGGGCTGGGTGGGCGGACAGTCCCAGAGAGATCCTCCTCCCTGCCCCGAGCCCTGTGAACAACAGCATCAAAACCACACAAGCTTGCAG